GAAGAAAGAAAGAAAGAAAGAAAGAAAGAAAGAAAGAAAGAAAGAAAGAAAGAAAGAAAGAAAGAAAGAGGAAGGAGGGAGGGAGGGAGGGAGGGAGGGAGAGAGGAAGGAAGGAAGGAAGGAAGGGGCAAGGAAAACACACCCGGGGAAGGGGTGGGGAAAAGCCTCCAGAAAGAGCTGAGCTGGGGCTCTGTCCTCAGGGCTCTGAAGGGCAGAGATTTAGGTGAGGTCCCAGGGGAGGATCTCAATAGAATATTCATCAGCTTCTAGGTGTGTCCTTTCAGGGTCGTGGACTCTACTGATTGGTAGGTGCCACGGCATCGTTTGTCTGGTTTTGCTGCTTTTCTGGGCCTAGATGATATCCCTAGGGGTTAATGCTTAAGGCAGTGGTTGTGCAAGGGCCCTTATGGGGAGTCACAAGAGGCCACTCTTGGGCCCCTGTTCCTACTCTAAGGCGATCTACTGAGTGACTACCGACATGTCTGGGAAGAGTCCGAACCACATGACCAGCCATACGAAAGGTCCGGGGGTCTAAACGGAATGACCAGTAATAGGCTCGGGGAGGAAAGGTTACCCTGGGGGCAAGGTCCTTGTTTTCCCAGTTTTGCCTGTTGCTAGGCACCTGGGGCTTTCTACCCTGGTGACCTCTAGAAGTACCTGGCTGCTGTCCTAGCTCTGCTCATGCCTGTCTAATTGCCTGCCACAGGTTCACAGGCAGGGGAACACTGCTTGGAGTCATCCTCTTTCGGCTAGAAATGATGGCTTATCATGGACTATACTGGAATGACTGAAGAGGAAACATACCCATCTGAAAGTGTCTACACTAACTTAGCATTCCCTCTTCACATTCCAAACGGGTTTCCCGTCATTCCCCGGAGAGCACAGAACCTCCATTCTCTCGGAAGGACTGCTCACTGCTTCTTTTCCCCAGGTCATCGCAGTCCTCTCCCCAAACTCTTCAGGATCTATTCTTAACTTCAGACATGGAAACGGAGGTTGTATTATCAAAGTCCCACAGCGAATCAGGTCCAGAACAAGCAACAATAAGACAGATTTCCCGAATTCCCTTCCAGAAGCCTCTTCTGGGCAGTGCTTCAGTTTGATGACAAATCTCCAAGGGTCTAACCCGGGATCCAAGCCATATTTGGGGTTGTCTTTTCTGATGGAGTGGGTGGGTTCTTTCCTGAGCTCTGGACTCAGTCCACTCAAGATTAGAAGCTCTGTTCTGGCATTAATTAGCTTTGGGATCCTGGGCACTTACCCTCTCTGTCCTTCAGTTTCTGAATCTGTAACACGAGGATAAAAATACCTGCCTCCTAGGGTTGTTGTAAGAATAAAACTAGATAGTGTGTGTTGATTTCTTCAGTAATATTCTGGCAGCCACCAGCGTGGTGCTGTCTCTTGGCTGATTCCCACCAGGGATACAGCAACTATGTAACTATTGGATAGATATTACATAGAACTATCCTATATTCATTTATTGAAAAAATGTTTATTGAGCAGCTTACTGCGTGGTCTATTTATTTATCACTATGTTCTATCTCTAGGTATCTCTAGGTACACCTTGCCAGGGAAGGAGAAATACATTTTAGGGGTTGCTTCCTAAAAAGGGACCCTGATTCCTGCTTCTATCCCAACTTTAGTCCCCAAGGGGAATTTAAGGAAACCTTTGGCATTGAACTCAGCTTTTGTGGCTCTCTGCAGAGTAGTAGCAAAGTCTGCCCCCTAGAGGCTAACAACACTCCTGGCAGTAAGAGCAGAACTTGAAAGTCAAAATGTTAACCTTATTGGTAGTTTACCACCACCTGCACAGGGGCAGTAGATGTGAGAGGCATGTAGTTTACTGAATGCATGGGAAGGCTAAATTGCTAATGAATGAATCAGGTTGAGACCCTGGATTATTCCCCCTTAAAAAATACTGACACTTGGAATTTGTAAAAATGTTGTCCTTGCAGATCTTATATGTGTGATTTATATGTGTAGTGCTTCATACTCACCAATATTGTCTTTGCCTTATCTCCACATTTCCCATCTATTTCCAGCTCCTATTGGGTATATCTTTGTATACCATGGAGCATTTACTGAGATAAGCTACACACCACATGCTCTCAGTCCCTGTTGGGGG